GAACCCCCAACTCTCGCATTGGAGGACGACTGCTCTAACCACTCAGCCACAGCCGCCCCAAATGCAGAATAAATATTTCCTGAAACGTGACTCATGACCAGCTCGATAAAAAGGAGTGCCTTTTTAAAACGTTCTTTAAATACTGCATTTTTTGGACTACAAGGTGCACTTAAAATCCTTGAATTTTCTTAAAAATCGACAGTGAACCTTATAATCCAGTGTACCTCAGGCATTATTTCTGGTTGTGCTTACTGAGCTCAAACCGATTTTATGTGGTAAACAGTGCTCAAAACTCTGTCAAAATGAACTTATTTCACTTAATGCATGCCACCTTTTCACACAAGAGTTAAAATAAAAATCCTCACTGTGCTGGCTTGAATGAAACCCTCATTAAGTAATGTACATCTATATCTGATTAACTTTTGGAGTCAACTCAACTCCTAGAGTTTCCAAAACCAGAATGTGAGGCAGATCTTTCAGTTATCAGGCTCCTCTCTTGTGGAACCAACTTCCAGTTTCTGTCCGTGAGGCTGAAACATTATCCAGTTTTAAAACTAGGCTTAAAATCCTATAGTTAGGGTCGGCTTGGGTTTCCTGAACTGTCCCTTAGTTATGCTGCTATAGGCTTAGACTGCTGGAGGAAACAACTGACCACATTTTTTCACTACGCTTTTCTTTACTTACTCTGCTCGACCTATTTTGTATTAGTAATTATTTTTTCTATCCTTAACATGTGTTTTTTGTTTTTCAGATACACCTGCACCTATATCTGGACCTCCCATTCTGTGTTCGTCTGTCTCTCCTTCCTGTCCTCTCAAACCAGCCGGTCAAAGCAGATGGCCGCTTGTCCTGATCCTGGTTCTGCTGGAGGTTTCTTCCTGTTAAAAGGGAGTTTTTCCTTTCCACTGTTGCCACTGTGCTTGCTCAAGATGGGAGACTGTGACAAAGTGAAGATTCAACTCGTCTGCTGCTTCCTTAGATAGAGAACTTTACTAATTGGCTTTTCTATGTATGTGAATGTTTCTGCTATATAAATAAACTGAATTGGAAAAAACTGAATTGATGCACATAGGCAGCACGGTGGCGCAACTGGTAGAGCAAGCAGGTCCTTGGTTCAAATCCCAGTCCTGGGGGCCTTTCTGGGTGGAGTTTGCATGTTCTCTCCGTGCATGTGTGGGTTTTCTCTGGGTGCTCCGGTTTCCTCCCACAGACCAAAAACATACATGTTAGACTGACTGGTAACTCCAAATTTTAGAAAAATTTGACAGAGTTCTTCATTTTGTTCTGTTACTTGAAGATTATTATGATTGAACTAATTGTTTGGAAAAAGGGGCAGATATAATAAGATTTTTTCTTCTTTCTGCTGCCTTTCATTTTAAATCTCTTGTATTTTTTTATATAGTTTATGCAATTGTTTTGTTTTTTAAAATGAATAAACTTTTTATACCATACCATAAATTGTCTCTTGTTCATGAAGGAGGGAAAGATGGAGCGTGAGATTGATAGGCGGATAGGTGCAGCGTTGGCACTGAAGTTGGCGCTGTACCGGTCTGTCATGGTGAAGAGAGAGCTGAGTAAACAGGCGAAGCTCACAATTTACCGGTCGTTCTACGTTCGTACCCTCATCTATGGTCATGAGTTTGGGTTGTGACCGAAAGAACGAGATCACGGATACAAGCGGCCGAAATGAGTTTTCTCCGCAGGGTGTCTGGACTCTCCCTTAGAGACAGGGTGAGAAGCTCGGTCATCTGGGAGGGACTCAGAGTAGAGCCGCTGCTTCTCCACATCGAGAGGAGCCAGTTGAGGTGGCTCGGGCATCTGGTTAGGATGCCTCCTGGACACCTCCCTGGTGAGGTGTTCCGGAGACCCATGGGTTTGTGATATTGAAGACATTTTACAAACATTTTATAAATCATAAAAAAAAAACCACTAGAAGTGACACATTTTGTTTTTCTTTTGTTTATGAAACAATAAACAGCCATCTTAAATCTGATCTGAAGCCAGCGATGAGTCAAAAAGGCCTTTGTGATCCTCTTCAACGTCACCAAACGCATCATATTGTTTACACATAAACAGTGTTGGTATGACAGAGTAAAGCTCACCAGCAGTTCAGTCCAAAAAAAGAGAAAAAATTGATCAGAATGCACAATAAAACATCCAACTTAGCAATGCATTAACTGGATATCATGCAAGTAAATCACCACAAGAACACTGTAAACAAAGGTACATAAGCTGCAGGATACTGTCGTCATACCAGTTTCATAGTTTCAGTAGGTATAGTAGTAATGTTGGGCACACAAAGAATCTTTAAAGGCAGAAACATCTTAGCATGCTGCATGATTTTTACTGTGTCACAGATCAGCTCTGAGCGGTCAGGAGCACATGGACGCCACAACACTCCAGAAAAAAAGGATTAAAAAAACCCAGCCAATAAAATAATCAAACAAAACAGTAATTAATTCCACCAACTCTCTACCAGTGAGACTTGTGGTTCTGATTGTCTCACACAAGCAGCTTTAGTCATGCAAAATACCCACAGGTAAGATAAGCAACACAGGTAAGACTCATGCTCATCATAAAAAAGGTTTAAATTGTTAATAAATTTACTGTACAGGTAAAAGAGCACAACAATAAACTGCAACCATGGAAACACTAAGATTTCAACTTTAGATTTGCAGAGAAGGACGAGCACGAAGAGGAAAGTGGTGCGCACGAGGCTGACAGAATCAAGCGAAGGTGTTTGTTGGTCAGGTGCAGCCACAGAGGGGGGCTGACGGGGGTCTCCTTGCTGCAGCTGATGTGATGTTGGTGTGACCGTCTGCTGTGGCTGCAGAAAGAGAAGAGCAAGGTGGGTGGGTGTGCCGAGGGCCGGAGGACGACCCGTCGTTCCTAAATCCTGAAAGCCGACCCTCCATCCACCTGCGCCCCTCTCTCCACGCTGATGACCACTTTGTCAGATCATCGACTTCAGCTACGCTCCACTTCCAAATGCTGCCTTTAAAAACAAAACAACAACAAACACATTTAAACACATTCGTAGTATTTAATAATGTTTTTATCACCGTGTGTGAGTGGTAGTAGCTGTTGTGGACCTCTTTGCTGATGTAGACAGGCGCAGACAGAAACATTAGTGTTTATTGTAATACAGGATTCATTTTATTGTCCTACGTGTAGAAAGGGGGAGGAGTTGAAAAGTTTGAAGGACTTCCTGTGTTGTTCTGTGGAGCACCTCGGTGGACTCAGTCAACAACTGAAGGTGCTGCGGTAAGAGTCCAGGGTGTCATGCAGGGGGTGTGACGTGTTGTTCAGGATCTGGAGCAGTTTCCTCAGCATCCTCTGCTCAGACACCTCTGTCAGAGACTGCAGGTCCACTCCCAGAACTGAACCAGCTCTCTTGATGAGTTGATCAAGTCTTTTGGCATCAGCTTTCTTCACCCTGCTGCCCCAGCACACCACAGCGTAAACTAAAAATAAACTAAAGCTACAAAATGAGGAGTCTTAGTAGTAGCTATATCTCAAGAAAATGTTACATTTTGTTCTATAAGCCCTTGTCCCTAAAGACAGGGGTGCTGCATATGAAAAATCTGCAGCTGATTTCTTCAGTGTACATGTAATAATAATAATAATAATAATAATAATGTGTCATGTGTTGTCATCATTGTATGTTTCCACACAATGGTGAAATTGGCTCTCTGCATTTAGCCCATCCACCACCAGGTGGTGCAGTGGACAGCTATTGGGGGCACCTGGGGATGAGCTGTGCTGCTCAGAAACACCATGAGATGTGCAATGACTGGGGATTGAACCTGGGACTTTTGGGTCCTGAGTCAGCTGCCCTGCCTCTACACCATCTCAGCCCCCGTGAGAATCCATAATGAATTAGACTTTATGGGAATTTTGATGTTCCCTGATCAACAGTTAAATTAGCAAACACTTTGTCTGGGTATACAGTAGGTATTAGCGTGCCAACCTGTAAAAGTGTTTCTTTGCATGCGTTGTACCTGTTGTTGTTGTACCTCAGCCCTGCAGCGGTGCAGCGGGGGCCCCTGAACAGTGGAAATGGACGTTTTGCCACCGGCTGTCTCTGCGGTGCCATACTCTGGTCTCTTCTGATTGGCTGGAGCGGGGTTGACCCTGGCTGTCCATAAACTGCGTCAGGCGAATGTATGCAATGCAGGCCGCGTCATCTCCGACCATGTGCACATGAGGGTTGAGGATGGTGGTGTGGATGGGTTTGCTGTTTTTAGAAAGGACTGAAGGGTGAAAGGTAAGCGCCATGTTAGGATGTAGGTGTTAACATGACATTCAGTATGAACCACGAGAACAGGTGAAACTGTGCACTTACGATTGTCAAAGTAAAATCTATGAAAGTCCATGCCTTCCACCAGGTTCCCCAGACCCTCAGGCTCAAATGAGGTGAGACCAGGGTCACAGATCTTCCTGAAAGGGAGTAGGTCCAAGTCAGAATGAATGTAAATATAACACATTTAACTTTTATTGTGTTTCAAACATTTTCTAATCTCCTTGACCACATTTAATAGAAACCAGTGATGTCTTTAACAATTGTATGTTGTTAAATAGACACCATAAAATTATATTGTAGTAGATCCTAAATTTTATCTTATTTTAATCTAGAATCAAATGTTATAGTACCTTCATGTGTCTTCTCATAGATTCTTATGTCATTTGTTTTTAACCTTCTCATCTTGATGTACTGTATCTTATATATTCAACCTCATATCTTATCATCTAATCATATTATTTAAATTCCTCATATTTTATCATCTTATATAGTCTAGTCACATTTCATATCCTTTTAGCTCATACTGCCTATTCTCATCTAACATATTTCATCACAACATATTTCCTCATCTCATATCCTTCTCATCTAATTGTAGCTTCTACTTTCTTAAAATCTCTCATCACTGTATCGTTTAATTTGATCATAATTTCCATCTCACATCTATTCTTTTTGTATCCTCTAATTCTCTCAGATTTTGTCATTAGAGTCTTACTACTCTGCTGCCATCGAGTGGTTGAAAATAGTAGTGGTCAATATTTTCAGTCAAAATGAATGAAAATGGTCATAGCTCAGCCAAAAATTGGTTTATAAATATGGGGGAAAATCCATTAATACATTGCTTCGGCCTATAAGTTACAGGGCATGCAAATTATGCAACCCCCCCCCCCCCCCAAAAAAAAAAAACAAGACTTATACAGCGAAAAATACAGTACTAAAGAATTGTTGAGCTTGTAGTAAGAAAGTTTTCTTTTTGTCCTGCATAATTTGTTGTTGTTATTTCATGTCTTTATGGAAATGGACTTCCACTGATGTGAACATTTTCCAGCCCTTAACCCCCCCACCCCCACCCCCCCACACACACACACACCACACACACACTCAGACTGCATTATTCCTAATTATATGGTGAGTAGAGAGGGGAGCAGCAGCTGGAACAATGACTGAAATCGCTCTTGAATCTATTAATACAACACATTTGGATGCCAGTCAGATGAATGGTTCTGGCTGATTGACATCCACTTTACGTTTCCTGCTGCTGGTTGAAGTCTCATGTGAAATGAAAGATAAGTGGTGAACTCACGCGTAGGCCTCAAAGTCTCCATTGTTGACAGCTTCGATAAGCTGCTCCGTGATCTTTATTATCTCCTGCTTGCGAGCTGTTGAGAAGAAACACCATGAGAAAGATGTGATCAAATCCCAAAGTGATAATCATCACCAAGTCACAGGAGGAAAAAACTTCATCACAACCATCCGAGATTGAACTTCAGAATCACGAGAGCTGGTAATTCGACTCAAGTCTTGCTCTTCTGTTCTGATCTCCTCAGTGGGATGTCAAACAGAAACTAAAGTGTTCATACCCCCCATCATCTGTCTAGGTGCCTCTACCTCGATTTATCATCCATCAGATCTGTTTCCATACGAGGCTGCTTGACCTCATCATCGTGACGAAGTCTTCTGTCTCAGTCCTTCAGAAGACTTTAACAGATACTTTCTCTCCACACAGACAGGAGGTCTTAACTCGATCAGACTGTCTCGTTTCCTCCCTCCCACCCCATCATTCCCTCCCCCTCTCTATATCCTGTTCATTTTGCTCGTGTGCCTTTTTTGATCATAAATACATCTCTATAGATGTTTTTCAGTCTAACAGATTCATGTCAACCATCATGAAAATATAAACATCTCAAACTAAACGTCTCTTTAACGTGATTAAAGAGACGTTTCACTTTAAAAACAACCACGTAGACACCTAACGACCCCCAGCAGAGTTTTACATGTCCTGGTTTTATTATATCTGTATACTGTAAGGCTCGGACAGCCCTCAAAGTAAGTGCAGATAATCATCATCTTAAGCTGCTTAAAGTATTAAATATTTCTGAAGCCCAAAGGCTGCACACACACAAGCATACATTTTCAGTATTTTGTTTAGCTAAAATAATTTTAAAAAGTTATTTAAAAAAAGAAAGAAAGTGTAAACAAGCTGATAAATGTTTCCTTTAGACCCGTCTGCCTGTTCGAATGGCAGCTTTAGTCTTGGTTTCAGTTTTTAAACAAGCTTCATCTCTTTTAAGAGTTTGAGGTCAGCGAGTTGAAGACACTCGGGCCCAACAACTGGTGAAAAGACTAAAATCCACGACCAGGACTCATGATTAACTTGTGGAGTGCTAAACCCTCACCCACGCGAGCTGCTGATCCAGAGCAGGAGTCTCACAACGTTACAACCAAATAAGCCAGTTTTGTCTTTTATCTCTGCAAATACAATTTGTCAAGAGCTGCAAAAAGAGTTTGAAATACAGCTGAAATAAAACAAAACAATTCATTGGGTGATATAGGAATAAAATACAAAGTTGTGTTGGTTAAAATCATGTGAAATGAACGAGTGCATGCATTTTATTTTTACACGTTAGGACAAAGGACCAATCTCTTTTAAAGAGGTGACTTTTATTTATTTATTTATTTATTTATTTATTTGTGCATCATGTATTTATGTATTTTAATGCAGTTATTTGTTATTTATTTCATGCTTTAATGCATTTATTTATTTGTTTATTTATATATTTATTAATTTAGTATTTTAGGTATTTATTTATTTACTTATGTATTCATTTATTTATTCATGCATTTGTTTATTTTTTATGTATGTATTTATTTATACATTTATTTATTATGTATTTATTTATACATTTATTATTTTTTAAATTTATTTATTAATTTATCTATTAATTAATTAATTAATTTTTATGCATTTATTTGTGAATAAATTTATTTTTTGCTTATACCTCCTGTTGTAACATTTAAACACTAAACTCTGGAGACCGATGTGAGCCCCTTCAATGTGTATGGATAATTAATAATTTACAGTAAGAACCAACTTTGAAACAATAAAGCTTTTACTGACATCCTCATAAATGTTTAGAGAGAACACAACCAAAAGACCTCTGAGTGCATATTTTCATGCAACTTATTGAAATAAACTTACAGTAAAAAACAAAACAAAAACAGAAACCTTCGTGGGCTTCAGCCTTGATTCAAGTTTTTTATGGTAAATTAATGGACTGTACTTATGTAACGCCTTTCTATCTTATAGAAATACTCAAAGCTCTTTACAACAATCTGTGCCTCATTTACCCGTTCATACAGCTCTATACTAGATCTCTACAAAGCTAATTGAACAAATCATTCTAAAGAAACTAATCAGTGATTTATCACATTCATCCACTGATGGGACACACATCAGAGGCTATGAGAGATTCAGTGTCTTGCCCAGGGACGCTTCAACATGTGACTGCTGGTGGATTCGAACCCCCAACTCTTGCATTGGAGGACGACTGCTCTAACTCAGCCACAGACGCCCTTTATCAAAGGAAATACTTTTGATTCCTATTAGATGATGTGACATGTTTTTGTAGAACATTTTGTTTTGATATTTTATGAAATAGTGTGAGCAAAACTGCACTCTGTTTTTCCCTAAGAAACTTACATCAGGAAGTCCAAAAAAGTTCAATCTGGTCCTCTGGACATTCAAAAAAACAAAAAACAAAACAAAGCAAAAAAATCTAGAAACGTTTCGTCTCTCATCCAAGAGACTTCCTCAGTCTGAGATGCTGTTTTCAGCTCAGTCTCTTAAATAGCACCTTCTCAGAGTGGATCAACCAGTTTTGCTGCTGACAACCAAAACCAGCTGATCACATGCTCAAGAAGGACCACCAGCCTAACAATGGATCATTAGCACATTGATGGCTGTTTACTGTTCACAGAGGGCTGAGTGATACTAGCAATCACAGCATTGTAAGAGGGGGACAGTTGAACCCGGAGGCCTCCACACCTGTTTAATGATGGACGATTTCTTTTCACAAAGATGGCCTCCTTTACTCCTCTCTCAAACCATTGTTCCTCTCTGTCCAGGATGTGCACATCCTCATCCCTGAAAGAGTGACCGCTGGCCTGGAGATGAGTGTAGACCACAGAGTCCTGGCCTGATGATGTTGATCTTCTGTGCTGGTCCATCCTTTTGGCCAGTGGCTGTTTAGTTTCCCCGATGTAAGACTGATCACAGCCCTCCTGACACTGAACAGCATACACAACATTACTCTGTTTGTGCCGGGGGACTGGATCTTTGGGATGAACCAGTCTTTGCCGTAATGTATTTTGGGGTTTAAAAGCCACTGGGACGTTATGTTTAGAAAATAAACGTCTCAGTTTCTCTGATACTCCCTCAACATATGGAATGACCACTGGTCTGGGTCTGGGTTCCTCCTTTTCACCTGATGGCCGACTGGAGTCCTGTTTGGGTTTCTTCTCTGCTTTTAGGAAGGCCCAGTTAGGATATCCACATTGCTCTAGAGCCTGTCTTGTGTGGGATTTCTCCTTCTGCCTGGCTCCTGAGCTAGTGGGGACGCTGTCTGCTCTGTGGTACAGAGTCCTGATGACTCCTAACTTGTACTCCAAAGGGTGATGGGAGTCAAACTGCAAATACTGGTCTGTGTGGGTCACCCACACAATGTGGATATCCTAACTGGGCCTTCCTGAAAGCAGAGAAGAACAAGTGAGAGAAGAGTTAAAATGTAAAGAAGGAGATAGGAATAGAGGAGAGAGAGAGAGGGATGAATAGAACACAAATCAACATCATTAAAGTCTGCCTGTAGACCTGCGGAAAAAAACAAAACAAAAAAAAACAACAAACAACTTATATAATGATACTTATAACATGTTACGGCCCCTGGCCTCTAGAGTCTGTGTAGTCTCTTTTTTTTTTAATGCAGATTCAGGTGTGGCAGCACACTCAGCTGATTGGCTGCCATGAGGCTGCAGAACAGCAACCCCATTGGACCAGCAGGAGATTGCCACACCAATCAGATGATGATGAGGTCCACCTGCACCCTATTAAAGGCTCCTGGGATCATTCCTTCAATGGGGGCAGCTTTAGGTAGAGGTTTTTGTGCAGCTGATCCCTACTTTGTTGTATCCTTTTGAGGATTGTTTTGGGGACAGTTTTAGACAGAAGTTTTGTACAGCTGACTCCCATTTTTGGTTGTTGTAACTTTTTTGAGGACTGTTTGGGCAACTTTAGAGTATTATGTACTCCTGATCCCTTTCTGCTCAGCTTAGCAGCATGATTCTGAGTTTGACGGGGTGATTCCACTTGTACTTGGAAAGTTTTTGGTGAACCTTTAATGTTGTTTTGTTTGGGTTGTTTTGAGTCTGGACTAGACTGACTTGTTTGGTTTTTATTTAATTGTTGCAGCAGCATTTGACCCACTTTAGTATATTTTTGTTGGGTCAAAGAGTATTTGTCTGTGGAACATTTTTTGTTGTTGTAATAAACCTACTTTTTAAAAATCAATCAACTACATCTTTTTTCTAGACACATTTTATGTTACACCCCTGATACCCTAGACATGGGGACGTAACAAACATCATTAGAAAGTATTTTATACAGTACATGGTAATACAAGATATATTTAGTGGCTACCACAACCCAACTGAGTGTGAATCTGATAAACACCTGAATCTAAACACCTGTGTGAGCGTTTGTCACTATAAAGTTTCTCCATAAAAATGTTCAACAGTGGATGTGGGGACCCATAAACCCGTCCCCACAGGACACGAAGGTGACACAGGGAAGACCGGAACTAAAGATACACAGGGGTCCCCAAGCCCGGAACTCCGGGAGTCCCCCAACAGGGACACCCGCACCCCCCAGAGAGATAGGCAAAGGGAAGCCCCAGGTGATCCTCAGCAACCACAATGCAGAAACCCCAGGAGGCTGCAGCGACAAGTCCACAGGCCCCGCCAGCAACCCGCCCCTGCAGAGTAGATCTGGTCATGGACACCAAGCCCCAAGTCCCCAGGTCATACCACCCCCCAACAGAGGCCTGACAGAGCCAGGGCACCCAGGCCCCCGCAGGCAGTCACCAGGGCGGGCTCACACACACCCCACCACCCAGCCCCAGCTGCTGAGAGCCACCAATGCACCGGCGGCAGGGGGGCCCACCACCATAGGGGAGCACGACACACCAAATGGGGGGCCAAAACTGGTCCAAGAGAGGGGACCACCTAAAACCCAACCTGAGACAAACAGGCACACAGAGACAGCCCGACAGAGCCTCTGTCAGGCCGTCCATGCGCCCCAACTGCCTGACAGCGACCACAAGCCGGCCCCAGGCCGGGGGCCAGAGCAGCAGGGAGCAGCAGCTGAGGAAGGCTGGCCCAGCACACCAATGCATCCCTAAAGCCCCACACCACAGTCCCGGAGAGGCCCCGGCATGCCACCCATGCACCACCCCCCACACACACAGCACACCCCACCGTGAATGTCACATCAGGCCGACCAGCCAGCACCCTGTCGAAGTGAAGCCACGCCCCCGACCACTGCCATGCACCACCAATGACCACACACACACACACACAACCACAGCCGACCCCCCGCCAGAACCCGGCAGCCACCCCAGCCAAAGGGCTGGCCATCACAACCAGGAACCTCGATCAAAAGATCCAAACAATCCAGGGAGAACCAGAGCGGGGGGAAGTCTTTTGGATGAAAGACGAAAAGTTTCTACCTTTTTTCTTGTTTTGCTTTGTTTTGTTTTTTGAATGTCCAGAGGACCATCTTTAACTTTTTTAGACTCACTTATTAGTGTGTGTTACTAAAATATCTCATGAACTGTTGGACAAATCTGAACGAAAGCTGCAAGTTATGATTGGACGTACATGTAAAAAGGATTAACTTTCAGAGTCTGTGCAATTCAAGATGGCTGCCTCAGCAAGCTGACTCAGTGAATTTTACAAATACTGACCTACAGTTTGGTGTGGTGGTAGCTGAGAGTCATTCAAAAACATTACTCTGCAAGTCATGTCACATGAAATAACATGTTATTTTCATAGTTTGATCAAAACAGCTACAACTTCATTTTTGGGGCAGCTGTGAGCAGCCGTCCTCCAATGTGAGAGTTGGGGGTTCGATTCCTCCAGCAGTCACATGCTGAAGGGTCCCTGGGCAAGACACTGAACCCCACATTGCCTCCGATGTGTGTCTCATCAGTGCATGAATGTGGTAAATCACTGATTAATCTTTGTAAAGATCTAATAGAGTGCTGTATGAATGTGTTAATGACAGATTGTTGTAACGAGCTTTGAGTATCTGGATTAGGCAGAAAGGTGATACATACGTACAGTCCACTGAGCATTCTGCAACACGATCTTAGTGTAACACTCAGAAAGGTGGCGGGTGATATGCATTCCTGACATTTATTCATTTTGATATTTTTTAGCTAAAGGTTACTCAGTACCAGCATTCGATTTGTTTTCAAATCAGGAGGTGGCTGTGACCTTTACCTTTCACATCTTCATCTTCAATAGTGGTGTTGCTGCTGTCGGACGATTCCTGAAACGGACAGAAAACAATGTGTTGGTCACGCAGAACCTGTGGAAACACACTCAGCTGTGCCCCTTCGTGAAAGCATGCACACATATGCACAACAGCTGTCTGCCGTCGCTGCTCTGTGTTCACAGTGTTACCAAGAACACAACAGCTACACAATCCTGTCTACAGAGTGACAACGTTCATCACAGCCTGACAGAGAATGTGAGTCAGTCATACACGGGGTCCTCAGCCAGTGGTCACACCACAGCTCCATTTCTCTGAACACAGAGGGGCAGCAGAAAGCAAGAAAACACACAAGTGACCAGACCAACACACTTTATCTCTCCCATGCATAAATACACATATAAACACAAACAGATTCAATAAACCGCACAGCTGAGGCTGCAAGGGTAGAGACGCAGAGTGAAGACGAGGATGATGAAGGAAGGAAAGGGTGAAAAAAGTTGAAGAGATGGGAGAATAGGAGGAGGATTTACCTTGATCCCATCTACTGGATTATGGATTACAGTAGTCTGTGGCTCCTGGAAGGAGAATGGACAGAAAGAAGGAGGAGAAAACAGAAAGAGGGAGTGACTAAAAACAAATGAGGGAAAGGTTTTATGACTAAACGAGTAAAGTAGTGGAGGATCAGCAAAGATCAGTTTGTGTAACGAGAAGATTGACGTTTCCAAACACAGAGGATTCACAACAAGGATGAAACCAAGTCAAAATAAACCCAGCAATGCAATTAAACTAAACAGACAAGCTTTTCTCCAGTACATGAAGGAAAACTGCAAGTCCTGTAATTCTTGTTAAGGCAGGTGGCTTTAAATTGACTAAAAAAATACCCAATTAAAAAAAAGAGCATACAAACAATGTTCTCGCAGCAGAACATCTGTTGAACCTCAATAAAACTGCTCTGTTTTAGGGCTCCACGCCCGCAGGTGCAAGGGAACGCAGCTTTGTGTTAAACACGGTTCTGTGGCCTTCCTGCTGTCAGAAAGTTTAAGGATAATGTTAAAATCAGGTCTCTCTTGTAAATAAGTCCCAGAGGCTCAGTGGGATTAACCTGTATAAATAAAGGTTGAATGAAAGAAGTCCTTTCCAAAGCAAAGTTTACCACCAGGGGGTGCTAAAGTATGACAACAACACCTCTATAAAAATGTTCTAGTAGAAGAAGTGTAATAACTTGAGAGCTTGTGAATACAAATGCACCAAAATACTCAGTTTTAAAGATCCACAAAATACTGATGAATTTTGTTGGTCCATTTGTTCACACGTTTTCTTCTAAAAGCATTAAATATTATCTCTTCCACTGATGTCATGCCATTCTAAAAACCATTTTTCTAACTTGTTTTTAAACTGGCTTTGTTTACTTTTTGTTTCCTTGCATCTTATTTCCCATGCAAAATGCATTTTATGTTAGTGGAAAGGTTTTAGTAAATAATTGCAATTAAAAACAATAAAAAAATGTTTTAAATGCATATTCTTGTCTGAGTTTAAATTAAAATATATTTTTCTATGTAATTTTTTAAGCATTTTAAATTCATGAATTTTGATTTAGTGTGTTTCTTCTTTTGCCTGACTAAAAACTTGTGCTGACGTGCATCTGAACCATCCATCCATCCATTATCTTTACCCGTTTATTCCATTTTGGGTCACGGGGGTCGCTGGTGCCCATGTCCAGCAATCACTGTGCGAGGGGCGGGGTACACCCTGGACAGGTCGCAAGTCCATCACAGGGCCACATAGAGACAAACGAGACAAACAACCATTCACTCTCTCTCTCACCTAGAGACAATTTAGAGTTACCAATCAGCCTAACATGCATGTTTTTGGTCTGCGGGAGGAAACTGGAGTACCCGGAGAAAACCCACGCATGCACAGAGAGAACATGCAAACTCCACCCAGAAAGGTCCCTGGACCGGGGTTTGAACCAAGGACCTGCTCGCTGAGAGGCAGCAGCTCTGCCAGTTGCGCCACCGTACTGCCGCATCTGAACCAGTTCTGGGTCATTTGTGGGACAAATTGGTACCAAGCATGAGCCATGTCACATTTGGCCCACATCTGGCCCAGATGTATTGACCTCTTTAATGGAGAGGACACATGACTATGTTCACCCTTTACTAGAAACACTCTGGACTACATCACTGTTTGGGTTTTTCAGTTGGACGGGCTCTTGAATGATGCCTCTTGCCAAGTTACTGTTCCAGAATCTAAGCGGGACCTGACAGATACTTCTCTTCTGCTTGATCCAGACTCCAAGAGGGTTTGGCCAGATACTCCTGCCCTGCCTGACCTGATCTGAGCCTGATTCTAATAATGAGAGGGTTACATCGGACACCTCTGCACCACTCCCAGTGCCTGTTGACACGGTCAGCCTCTCTTCTGCTTGTTACAGACTCTGTGGTGGAAGTGGTCTCCAGCTACAAGTACTTGGGTGTGCACCTGAATGACAACCTCAGCTGGAGCAACAACACCACCAGCCTGATCAAGAAAGCTCATCAGAGACTCTACTTCCTCAGGCGGCTGAGACGAGCTGTTCTGAGAAGCTCAGTCCTCACCTCCTTCTACAGGTGTGCAGTGGAGAGCATCCTGTGCTCCAGCATCAATGTGTGGCATGGAGGCTGCACAGCTGCAAAAAGAAAAGCTTTGCAGAGAGTGGTGAAGGCTGCACAGAAGATGTTGGAGTCAGTCTCCCCACCATCACAGACATCTACACCTCCAGATGCAGGAAGAGGACCACCTGCATCAAGAAGGACCCCACTCACCCAGCACACACACTTTTTGCCCCACTCCCCTCAGGAAGGAGGTTGAAGAGCATTAAGTGTAGAACCACTAGACTGAGGAACAGCTTCTACCCTGAAGCTGTTAGACTCATGAATCTCTAACCAGGATAATCACTGTATTGACACTTTCATTGGAGATTTGTGACTTATTTCTGCTGCTGATTATTCATGCTGCTGATGTCATGCTGCTGAATTCATTCATAACCATCTGCTCACTACAGACTCATGTTCAGGCTGCTGTTTAATATACAACAACATTCATTCAGGTCATCTGGACGGTTTATTTTTTAAGCGGAGACGTTTCTTCCTTCATCCAAAGGACTTCTTCGATCTGACGAGCCACCAGGAGTGTTTTGCACCACTTAGTCATGACTGTCTCAGAGGAGTTGAAGGGGGAGAGGGCGGGCCCTGGAGGCCCTGGAGGCCCTCTCAGCGCCAGCAAACTGTTTTTTTCTATGGAGTATGCTGTTTGTGGGAATCCGTTTTGTTTGGTGGCTCCTCAGATCGAAGAAGTCCTTTGGATGAAGGACAAAACGTCTCAGCTTAAAAAAGAAAAACCATCCAGATGACCTGACTGAACATTGTTGGATTTTACACCTGGATTACTGAACATGAACTTTGGTGAATATACCATGATATTTTACACTATCAGTGCTTAGTATGTATCTTAGATCCTTGTATACCATTTATTTTTATACTTTATAATTTTGCTATTTTTGGATGTAACTGGGACCCTGTGTACACAGTTTCGTTCCACCTCATGTACCACATGTGATGCAGATGACAATAAAGAACCTTGAACCTAAAGTTGACAAGATGGACGTCCCTCCTCTGCCTCGCCAAAGTCCAGACACTGAGGGAGAGTCACTGGATGACCAGTGAGCATCCATTACAGATCAGTCACCATGACGGAGGCTGAACCAGATGAAGTTATGACACGTGAGCCCGTTAGCTTCCTGCCTCTGTCTCTTGTTACTGATTTGTTTAGACCCATCAAACCCATGGTCCTTTTTACTGATTCTTGTAAAATCTCTTGGTGATGACTGCAGCCAGCAAAACCTGGATCAGCTGTTAGATTAGCTGCAATTCAAAATCATGACATTTCATAAACTCATGGCCAAAAAAAGATTACGACTTGCAAATACTACACACAGACACTTCCTACTCACTTTCACACTCACACACCCACACTCTCTGCACTTTGAATGTGGTTTGGACAGACAGACGGACACAGAGCTGCGTACCAGTGCAGCAGAGGGGACGTTGCCTTTGGGACTGGTGACTATGCTGTTTCTCGAGCTGTTTGTCTGGGGCTGTGCCGGAAACACAAAGTGGCGTGTGTTAGTACTCAGAAACAATCTGCTGTGAGGTGGGTGGTTACTGTGAACAAAACATATTCTGTAATGGAGGGTCAAATGGATGGAAGAACGCGTAAATCACATCAAACACTGAGAACAAACATCATTCAAAAAAGGTTTTCACAAACATCTGGCTGCATAAATAACCATTTAGAAAACAAGAACTGTGCGTCATTTCTCTGTGAAGGAAAAGGAGTTCACACTCCTCAGTCTGAGCCGTTTCCTTTTTATTTACTTGCAGTGGCTATAAATGCTATTGTAGGGGAACACCACCTCAGAAACAGTTCACCTCATCTCAAACAAACAGCATTCATGTGTTTTTGTGTTTGAAACTGTTAAAATGAAGATTCATCTATTCCCTTGGGAACAAACAGACATTGTTTTGCAGGTGTTCAACTCAGCCCACAAACTTCTCAGTTGAACTAATGTAAATGTAATTAAAAAAACTGTCACTGTGTTAACTTCACTGCCAACATGAACTCGTTTCCCATGAAACGGACAGATCGTTTGAATGAGAGTTTTGGTTCAACTGACCTCAAAGTTTTTTTGAAACATTCAAACTCGCTATTTTGATATCGTCCTTTATCGAGAAGGAGTATTCCTCCCAGAATGGTTTCCCATGAAGATAACACCATAAGAACCCTTCGTTTAATGACATTCCTTTTCAGGAGATGGACAGCAACGTCTTTTGGTGAAACAGTGCATGTTATTAATTCCAAGATGTCGTTTCTGTTTTGTTTTATACCTGAATGTCTATTCACGAAAATGTGTGTTTTAAGTAATCTCTCTTTAAGATAATCATTTGTCTTATTTTTCCTCTTTTAAAAGAAGAGTGACTTTTAAGGCAGAGAAAGGGACTATAGATTTATTTAAGAGACCTTTATAAAAACATGACAGTGAGCTAGGTTTGCAGTTGTGATGTAGGTTCACCAGAAAGGCATTGAAGGGTCTTTGTCCTACCAGAATGAGATGTCAGAGCATGTTTCCAACAGCTGCTAATGATACCAGCAAGGCCGCAGATGCTCCGGTGACTGAGAGGCTGATTTTTCCTCAAAGTTCACCTGTCATCGGTTGGAGGGACGAAGGTCCAGCCACTGGCTCTGAAGTCAGCTTGAATTTACCACTCCTGCGGTGTGATGGGTCTGGTTTGGTCAGGTTCTGTGTCTTTCTCTCGTCCTGAGACGTCTGCAGAAAGGATGCTTCTCTCCTCTCTGAGTTCAGTGCAGAAACTGGGTTTCTTCTCTCCAGTTCTCTGTGCAGAAGCGTGTTTCTCTCTGGAGTTTTCTCTCCAAACTCCCGTGAAGTCTTCCAAGACGAAGCCTCAGTGAAGTGTGTGGTGGAAGACGTCGTAGATGTGAAGAAGTGATGAAAAGTGAAACTTAACTGTCTGTGTGTTATAGATTGACTTTGGTCCACCTCAGGAGTGGGTGGTCCTAACTCACTTCAGACACAATTTTAAACTACTTCACAAACAGAACCAGTCCAAAATCTGCCTTTTAAGTTTCACTAATTTGAATAATCAATTAGACCATTGATACAAAGCTATTTGTTATTCAGTTAATTTTGTTATGCATATTCTTCATCATATATATCACAGATTATTATTTTTATAATAAAATACATAAAAATCAACTGAATTTGTGCTTATTTTGGCACATCTGTATGTATTAACTGATTTGATACCGTTTAAACACGAGAAAAGAACTCACATTTCAGTTTACATTAATTTGGGGTTAAATAGAGACTGATTTTTCCTCTGAAAGAGAGGTGGTGCCCACAAAATGAAGTTATTTGCATAATAAATGCATATCTTATGAGCTTAACTCATAACTGATAATTAACAATATATATCCAGCCCCATATCACCCTACACTATTTAGATGGTGTTGAATTAACCCGACAGCAGCTGTTCACCTCTGCAACATCAGCCAGATGTGAAGAAACATCAAGCTGCATGACTAAACCCCTCTAACATGTTCTGACAAACACAAAAAACCAAAGACAGACAGCATTTAGGACAAAACACACACACGCACACACACACACGCACGCACGCACGCACGCACGCACGCACGCACGCACGCACGCACACATGCATGCACAATAACTCTGTTTTCTAAGCACTCAGAGAAAAGTGTTCAGGTTCTAAATCAGCATAAAGTGCAGGCATGATGCAGACACTTCTCAGCAGAACTCTCAGTCTCTGAAAGGTCAAATCTGAGCTGGTAAAAAAAATTAAATAAAGTGTAAAAGCACTTCCTGTATATTTCAAAGAGAGCATTAAAACAGTAAAAGAGGAAAATGGTTTCAGATTACTTGAGGAGGAAAAAGCAGTATCATGCAACCATTAACCTGCACCATTAGTATTTTAACATGCACGTGTAAAAGATTAAGTGGACAGAAGGTCTTTAGGGTTTTTGGGAGTAGAGTTCCTGCTCCTCTGAACAAGTCTGTCAAGGCTGGCTGGGTGGAGGAGATGCTTGAGCAGACCCAGTATTAGAGGTGGTAAATGCACCTTTCTATATTATCAATTTATCCTCAAAGCTCCTACAAGCACCTGCAGATGTTGGATGCTGTCTATCATGGTGCACTAAGATTCATAACTGGCTGTAACAATCGTACCCACCACTGCACCCAGTATTCACTGGTTAACTGGTCATCATTAACTTCATGCAGACTCTCTCACTGGTACATTTTCATCTTTAAATCACTTCTTGGTCTGCTGCCTTCATACATCTCCTCCTACATGTCTCTGTGTGAGTGCAGCTACAGCGTGCGCTCTCAGGACATTATTACCTGCAGTGTTCCCTCAGTGAGGACTGAACTAGGCAAAAGGGTCTTCTCCTACTCCGCTCCTGTTTCCTGGAATATCTTACAAAAAACATCTGAAGCTCTCGACCTTGACCTCTCTAAGTGGCTTTAAAACCCTGTTAAGTACCTGGCAAAACCAATGCAGACATGTTCCTGTTTTTAGTATTTTACATCGCTTTATAATGTAGCTGTCTTTGTTTCGTTTTTAAACATCATTTTCTTTCATTAATTTTTTCAGTTTATATGCTTTTTTATGACTGTTTACTGTTGTCATCACTCTTGTTAAAATCAGGTCTCTCTTGTAAATGAGTCCTCGAGGCTCAATGAGACTAACCTGTAGAAATAAAGGATGAACGTAATCTGTGTCCTCATTTATCCATTCATACAGCACTCTACTATATATTTACAAAAAATAATCAGAGCTTTATCACATTCATGGAACACACATCGGGGGCAATGAGGTCTTGCCCAGGGACATTTCCACATGTGACTGCTGGTGGAATCAAACCCCCAACTCTCCCATTGGAGGACGACTGCTCCAACCACTCAGCCACAGCCGCCCCATATGAGGTTTGAAGGAAACGGGATCTTGAAGATCTTCTTGTTTCAAGTATTTAGTGAGTAGGTTGTACAAGACGTTCGAGGTGAGGGTTGTACCACAGTTCTTGTCACGCGAGTACCCTTCATCTCCTGAGCTGATCTGGCCCTTCTTTAATCCTTAAGTGGAAAAGCAAAGCACAAATGTGTGTATCTGCATTTGTCAAGGAAAAATATTAAACAAGGGACGACTTTGAACTGTCTGCAACTCAGTTTCCACTGTTGGTTGTAAAGAGCCAGAGCCAATACTGATTCAGATTGCTCGTGCACGTCACTCTACCCAGAATTTACTGAAGGAATTAAAAATCCTTTCTGGCCTGAAAACACCTTAGTATCCACTGAGTTATACTAAACCTGTGGTTTCAGTGACCCGACCGCAGATAAACAGCAGTGAATGGAAGGATGGATGGCACATGCCCTTGAGCAGACTGATCCTCTTCACACTGAACCACAGGGCAGATGTGAACTAACTAAAGAGTTCCTGTCATGATAAAAGCAAAGAATCAGCAGGAACTGGTGAAAACAAATGTAACAATTGCTCCACTAGATAGTTTGTGTTTCACTTAAAAACAGGTGAAATTTGAGTGCACGTTTTGTTGGTAAAAGTTAATATTCATTTTGTGATGATTTGAAACTATGATGTGTGCTTTTGATATTTTTGAGGTTGATGAAGGGATTTTTGCTTACTGGGTTTTCTTTTACCATCCAGTAGTGTTTGGTTCTGGTTTGGCCCGTCCCTCTGATCTTCTCTCTGCACGGGTGTTGGTGGTTCTGATATGTGGTTTTTGACTTTATATTCCCTGGGTTGAGTTTGGTTCTTCGGTTTGGCAATGTAAACAATGTTTCAGTCTCGGCTCCGTGCTCATATTGATCCCTATGAGTTCTGCAGTACTGATACTTGATCCAGCTGTTCTGTGTGGTCTCGAGGTACTGCAGCTTTTTCATTTATTTCTTTATTGTTTATTTAAAAAGGCAAATCTCATATCTCTGTTTTAAGTGAGGCCTATGCCGGACTGTGGGAGAACCGGACTTGGAGAACATTCACACCAAAAAGAGAACGTACAAACTCCTGGGCTGAACCCAGGACCTTCTTGCTGTGAGACGACACTGCTTATCACTATATTAGTGTTCAGCTCGTGCAGATTTACAGACAGCTGCTTCTGTCTGAAAAATATTTTTCTTAATACACGCGACAAAAACTAGAATAAATAGTGAAAAAGAAAAACTGGTGCTTGTGAATATATGGGAATACTAAAATAGTTTCCAGATTGTGTGCCTTTGTGTAACATTATGTTACGGCTAAAGTCAGCCCTGTGATTATGTAATGACAGATTACTCATCTGGCTGGAATAATCTGAGATTAGCATCAGGCCCCTGGACAAAAAGGGCTAAATTAGAAATGAAAAATAAAGGGAGCGGGAATGATTGAGGGATGATGGAGAGACGCAGGTTAGAGGAACATTCAGTGGAGACAGAGGAGATCAGAACGTCATCCAGATGGTCTCAGCACCAGTCATCTCTCTCTTTGCTTCTTACTGGCTCCTTAA